TCTGCAATCCTGAACCAGGTAAGTTGATTTGATTCCACACCATGTATATATCTCAACTGACTTTTCTTTATTGGTCAAACAGACAATTCCTTTTTTCTTTTTTTCTTTTTCAGTTTTTGTGGTTTGATTTACATGAAATATGAGTTCTCTATTTTTGTGAAAAATATCCATGAAAATGGCAATCATGGAAAGTAAAAAGCTTGGATCAGGTTGAAAATCATTCAAGTTTTTGCCCGTAAAATAGCCGAGGCTGAGTTGTTTTTAACTTATTGTTTGCCACTCTGTATTAGGGATATTTTTAGATTTAAAGGGTAAAATAGATGTCTTTTTCATTAGAAAAAAAGGATATTTTGGATTTTATATGTCGATCTGAATTTAAAAATTTATATCAACTTAATCATTTCAACAATTTATAAAATAGACCTTTAAACGTTAATTTGTTGCGTTCTAAGTGAATGATTCAACTTAATTCCTAAATCATTCTTAGCAATAGAATTGACCTCAGACAATTTAAATTGTTCAAAACCCTTATTTTATAAGTATAAATAATACCATCTACGTATCATTTTCTCATTTTATTTTTTCTACTTTCATGCTATCTCTTTTTTATTATTTATATTGACCTCCGACTTAAATATTGAAGTACAAACACTAAAACAATCCTTAACCTATATTTTTAATCACTCTCTTTCTATCGTAATTTTAAAGTTTTGCCCCTCGCACAAACATTGAGTCTGGGATTGAGAGTCATCCGCGCACCTTACATATAAGAATGCTGTAAATCAGCAAACAACAATAAAAAAAAAAGTAATAGTACCAAGAGAAAATTGATTGGACAATGAAAACTAGTGGTTTGAAAATCTGTCCAAAGGAATGACAAACAGAAAAAGTTTCTTGTCAATGTGACTTGATTGTCTAGCTGGTGTCTTATATAACTGGAAGCTTTCCCATGGGATTTATTTGCAAAATTACAAAGGTGAAGAGGGAAGAGGAGAGAAGCAGATGCAAAACAAAGAGAAAGGAGATCTTTGAGTTTTGCAAATGTCTTCAGCAGTGTTGACTTCAGTTTATCCAGTTTGCAGTGATGCAGCTGGTGTTGCAGGTAGCCTGCCTATCTCTTTCCTGTTATCTGTCACTCTAGCTTCCTTTTTCACCTCCTATATTATGATTAATATCTGGCTTTTCCGATATCAGAAATGTCTAAACAACTCTTTAAACTTTAAACTATTTGTTGTATTCTACATGATGGGGCTTTTTGGCTTTGGGGTTTGAGAATTTGGAATTTTTTCTAGACTAGTTTTTCCCCCTTCTTGCTCCTAATTCCCTCTTTGTTGGTTTTGATATTATCGAACATGATCACGGAATAGAAAAATTAACTAAAACTTTATTGCTTTGAGATGAGAATTGTCAGGATTGAAGAACCTGGAATTTATTTCTATACAGGATGGCTTGAAGATTATTCCAATTCTAATCTGTTGAGTTCAATTTTTTTCAGGTAACATCTTTGCTTTTGTGCTGTTCTTGTCACCCACGTAAGTTATTTTAAACTTCTATAAGAATGTAACAAAGATCATGGATAAAAGCTGAACTGCAAGACTTTCTTTCTCTGTCTTCCAGAGCAACATTTCGGAGAATAATCAGAAATGAATCAACAGAGCAGTTCTCAGGAATGCCCTACATATATGCCCTCTTGAACTGCTTGATATGCCTCTGGTATGGAATGCCCGTCGTATCTCAAGGTTGTTATCCTGGTAGCAACAGTAAATTCCTGTGGGGCAGTTTTCCAATTGATTTACATCAGCATTTTTATTAGATACGCTGAAAAGCCAGTGAAGGTATTATTTTGTTATGGCAAGATGATCTAATTGGAAATGGTTTTTTATACATTAACATGATTGTCATATTGTCCTCTGGATGTTGTTTGCAGCTGAAGATGTTAGGATTCTTGATATCAATTTTTGCAATTTTTGCTTTGATAGTTTTCGTGAGCCTGAGATTCTTGGACTCCCCATCACGGCAGCTTTTTGTTGGATATTTAAGTGTTGCATCTCTGATTTCCATGTTTGCTTCTCCTCTACTCATAGTTGTAAGTTCATCAAAGTTTCATATTTTTCGACCTTTAGATTGCGGAATTCCTTCTCGCTCATGTTGTTTTCTGTACATTGCCATGCCAGAATCTGGTGATCAAAATGAGAAGCGTTGAATACATGCCATTCTCACTCTCCCTTGCAACATTCTGGATGAGTCTGGCTTTCTTTGTATATGGAATGTTCAAGCATGACGCTTTCATCTATGTAAGTTTTTCCTTTTCCACTCTTCTATTCTATGTTCCAAATGCCTACAGATTCGATCACAATCAAGAGTCCCCCAATTTTGGTTTTCAGCAACAACTATCCATCTATTGTTCTAATTTTCTTCCCCTGGTACAGGTTCCGAATGGAATTGGAACAGTTTTGGGGACTGTCCAATTGGCCTTGTACACCTATTATAACACTGCATCCCGAGAGGACTTGAGGCATCCCCTGATAGATCCTTGAAGGAGAGCTCAGCTGTTGCAGAGAATGGAAAAAATACTGTTTGCCACTCCAGCTTTTCCAGTTTGATTGGCATAGAAACTTTTTCCTTTCCCCTGTTTGTTCCTCTCATAAGATCATGGAATTTGATTTAAATATATGCATAATGCAAAATCAAATTCATGTTTGTATATTGTATATATCAATATATAATACCATTGGTCTCAAAAAATCAAAATCAGAGTACTTTTAGAAGAATTGGGGGAAGAAATTACCTGAATAATAATACAAATCTTTTGGGTTGATAAAGTTTCAAGAACAAGATGAGGCAACAAAGACATTTTCCTATGTAGTACCTTTTTTTCAGTAGAAGGAACTTATAAGTTTATGAATAAAGTGGTCACACACGCACACACAAAATATGAATTACTTTTGATTTTATTATGGTCATGTGCACTTGCATAATTAAACAACATTAGTTATATATGTATTTTTTTTCCATTAACTATGAGTTTAATGAACATCATAGGTCATTTAAAATCCCTCTTTATATAAATGTATTGTTTGTGTTAAGTTTAGACTTGAGGATATTTTTGGAAGGATAAAAAAGGAGAGAACAGTTAGATGTAAAGACACTAAGTGTTCTTCACTTTTACATTCCGATGCGCAAGTCAAAAGTTAAAATAAGAGGGATTAGAATGAAAGAAAGTAAAGAATTTGAACAAAATAAAATAATATGAAATAGAATGATAGTACTTGAATATCCATATTTATAAGCAATAGACGAGGGATCTGTTAAGAACCAAAGTGATGTGGTCGGGCTAACATGGCCTTAAACATATCGGGTCAGTCTGATATGTCAGGTTGGCTAAATGCCTTAAGTGCCTTTGATCATAGTTATTAAAATCGGATCGGACATTAAACCGTTCAAGATTTTAGCTCATCGAGTCGGTTTAATAAAAAATAAAAATATTTAAAAAATTTAAAATTCAAACTTTTAACTAAAATTATAGTTTAATAATTCAATCAAAAAATTATAAATTTTAAGGTATATCGTAAACTACAAATTTCAAAATATAAAATTCATAAAACAATTAATTACTAGTTTAAAATAAAATTACTTAACATTTTATTAAAATCATATTTTATATGTTAATAGTTAAAAATAATATTTATATTTTAATAAATATAATAAATAATAATTATTTTTTAAAAAATATAAATATTATTTATTAATATATAATAGTTAATCTTTATATAATAAAAAAGAAAATATCTATATATAAAATTAATAAAAAAGAAATATTTATAGTTATATGAAAATTAGTAAAAAGAAAATTAAAATCATTTTTATTGTTTTATACGAATATAGATTTTTTTTATTAATTTTACATATATATTTTTATTAATTATTTTCAATCATGGTCAAATAATTAATTATTTTTATTAACATTTTATTTGTTTGTTAAATTTGTATATTATTATTTTTATAATTATTTTTAATTATGGTATCAATTAATAAAATTTTTTGTTAGATAATTTTTTTAAAAATTATTTTATTTTTTTATATGTATAAGTTTTTTTTTTACAATATCATTATCCATGTGTTTCAAAATATATCAATATATCATTAATACAAAGATGCAATGGTTTTGATAGTAAAAAGTAGGAATTGGGGGCTTATTGAAATAGTATAAAAGTTTAATTAGATTGTTTTGAATATTTGAAAGGTTTTTTTTTTCATATTTTACCTAAATTTATAATTGATATTAAATCAATCCAGTTAAAAAAAATCATTAGATTTATTAATTTATTATGCAAATCGTCGATTCACAATAATTTAAAATGATTTAATTGTAAAATTAGTGTAATTATAAAACTAAATTGATTTTAACATCGATTCATCAGTTCACTTAATTGAATCGATAATTTGATTTGATTATGATGATTAGGCTTTTAATTATTTATTGATAATCTCTAATAAAAAAACAATTACAATATCTTTTGAACAACTAAATACCGTTGATATGTACCCACACATTTTATAATCTATATGGTAACTTTTTTATTTCATATTATAGCTTTCTTTATTAAAAAAAAAAGACAAAATTTGCTTATAATTGATATCACTAACAAATGTGTGTTTTTTTCTTGCTAATTTGGGATTAGAGGTCGAACATAATTTTATCATTATTACAAGTACAAATCCCCCATCTACTCATTACTTATTTTCTAGTAGCGTTAATCTTTCTCCTAATCCTAACATATTTTGGCAATTCATAGTCTTAGGTCTTTAACAACAAAACGGCATTGACCCACCTTGTCTTTACTCCAATCATTAACTTTCCAAAGTAATCCAACGAAATTACCAAACTAACCCAACCCTATATGAACAAAAGATATAGAAATATCTCAAGATGAGGGCAAATTAGTCATTTTAAAAAAGCAGAAGTTCCAAAATGTTCACGCGTCAATAAAAGGAAAGAGAGAGATAATTTAAACCCTAGCTGACATTTACGCGTTTTTCTTTTTCTGAAGCAGAGAGTTAGAGTAGCAGTGTAGAGATAAACCCTGATTAATTCTCTCACTCTCTCTTCTCTTCTCGCTCTCTTCTTCTGTTTTTTGGTTGTTTTTAAGCTCTCGTTTCGCTTCTCTGCTTGCTGTTTGTGCTCTCGCCGTTGGATCGATCAACTTATCTGTCAAAGTTGGGTTTTTGGTGTGAATTTGACTGGATTTTCGGTATGTTTCAGGAAACCCTAACTTGCTTTCCTTTTCTCCATGGGTTTGAATTGTCTGCTTTCTTTAATTTGGTGAATCGAGGTTGGTTTGGATGATTCGGCCTAGGATTTTGTTATGAATGAACTTCTGATTGGTTCTCTTGTAATTACTTTTTGGGTGTTCTTAAATTAAATTGAATGCTGTTTCTGAAGTATTTATACGAAATTTTGTGTTTAAATTGGATCTAACATCTGTTAGGGTTTTGTTAATGCCTGATCCAAATTTGAGTTTTTTTCTTTGCTTATATCTTTAGTCGTGTTTGGTACAAAGTTTTGGTCTTGGTCAACTTGGTTCTAAGGTTTTTCAGAATTCCAGTGAAAAACAATAAAATAAATTGGCTTTGCAGTATTGTTTGTGGTTTTCGCGCTTTCTTTGGTTTTGGATGCGGGATATTGATTTCTTCTCAAAGTCTTTTCTTTTAAAGGACATGAAGAAACCCGTATTACACTCGGTTAACTTTTGCTGCTTTTGAAAGTTCTTAGTTTACTTATGAACGCCTGCTAGGATGACATGTCACCATTTGTTTGATGATTTTTATAAGCATTTTGATTCTTTTGATATTAATCCTGCCAATAGAAGTCATGCTTTTATTTATTTTTGATTTATAATTTATTTGTAGTGTGTAGCTGCTTCAAAAATCTTTGCGCTCTTGTTTAATTTTTCCTATTGTCTGGCAACGTAGAAATCTAGAAGGCACTATATTTGAAGTTTTGCAGCTTTAGAAAATGATTGCTGCACAAAGTGTTGTGCCAAAGCAGAAGTTAAAGATTAAATTCCCTTCTCAGAGGATAGAAGCAATTCCTGCGCCACAATCTTTTGAGTGTGGGCAACAACTGAGCAGTTCTTTTGATGGAAAAAAGGCTTCATCTGCTGGAAATTCGAAAGAGACTTCTGGTGCTTACAAGCGTAGACCTGAAGGGGTGATTGTGGGTGGTCCTCAGGAGAAACGACGAAAGATGGACCGTGGCATGACTCAGCAGTGTTCTGCCCTACTGAAGGCACTGATGAAACATCCAGCTGGTTGGGTTTTCAATGAACCAGTGGATCCTAAAGCATTAAACATTCCTGATTATTTTACAATAATTAAAAGCCCCATGGACTTGGGTACGATTAAGTCCAAGCTAGTGAAGAATACTTATCTTGGCATTCAAGAGTTTGTGGCCGATATTAAACTGACTTTTTCTAATGCCATGTTGTATAATCCTCCTTCTAATAATGTTCATAAAATGGCGGAAGAAATGAATGAGTTTTTTGAGGCCAGATGGAAATCTTTGGAGGAAAAATGGAATCAAGAAAATTTTAAGGTTGGGCATGGAAAAATTTTGAGTGTACGACTGAAAGATGTTAATGAGGGAAGACAGAGTTGTCCTAAAACACAGCTATCCCGAAATAGCTCTTTTCCGAAGAAGTTGAAGCCATCTGAGGAGAAGGTTGTGAAGGTACCTTTGAATGCAAAAGCAACCGAGGTGAGTACTTTCTATTGTATTTGCAAACAAAAATACTTATGATTACTGTGGTGACTCTCATTGGTAATTTGATTTATTTATTAAAGAAGGATGTTGGATTTGACAATTGTAAAGCAAGTCATACTTATAATCCATGTAATATGTTGCTGTCAGCATCTTAGTTCTGGCTTTTTGAAGTTGTGTTTTTGCTCATTTTATGTTGTTATTTGTCATATAGAAGTTTGCATTGTTTCTGATACTGGTTTTCTTGGCTTGTTACCAGGTTGAGCTTCCTAAAGCGGCACAGAACTGTGTGAACAAGTATTCTGGAAAAAACCTACAAAAAGGTATGAAGTGGCAGAATACAATTTCTGCTTTATGGCTCTTTATAGGAGCTAATTTGCAATGTGTCTTATAGGCACCAGTAGTGGTAGTGGTAGTGGTGGGCGTGCTCATGGGTCTGCCAATACCAAGCCACCATTGAGCCCAGCTGCCTGCAAATGCAGTTCATGTGGTAGCATTAAGTGTCAATGTAGCCTTCCAAGTGTTTCAAACCATGCATCTTCAAGCGGTTAGTTGATAATTTCTTGTGCTACCTCTGTTTTGTTATTTTAGGCCATAACTTACTTATTTTTTGTTTGGCATAGATGTAACTTCAGAAAGATCATTGGTTGGAGATCTTAGAGTGTGTAGTGCTGTTGCCTCTAAATTGGTATACATTACTGCTCTTATGGCAATGTGATTATTTTTATGATTAGTGCCATGAAGTATGTTAATAAAATTTTATATTAAAATCTAGGATTGCCAGGCAAAAAGCACATCGACATCACAAACGAGCAAGTCTGATCCAGATTCTGATGGTAAGGAGATATCTCAATTTTATTTCATGATTTTCTACTTGATTCTTGATCTGAGCATTGGAATTCTTTTAAAAAATGTTAAGGTGCTGTAAGTGCTTTGGATGATGAGAATGTCTGTCCTAGTTCTCAACTGACAACTCCTGCAACAGATGCTGCTTCTGATGAAGGTCAGTTTATCTGCTGATGTTAACTGTTAAGTTTTTTCCTTTTGCCTTCAATAGTGGATGTGGTTTGTGGTTGTCATTAGAATTCCTTTTGTGTTGTAAATTTAACTACTTTAGTTTTTTTTTTTTCTTTTATTTGATGTAGGATTGTTAACTCCTATTTTTGAGGCACAAATGTCACCAGAGAAGGCTCTCCGTGCTGCAATGCTGAAAAGGCGCTTTGCAGAAACCATTTTGAAAGCTAAGCAGAAGACACTACTTGATCATGTAAGTTTTTGCAAGGATATTGGGATTTTGTGTTGGTAATTAATGTTGCATGGTATTGAATTGCATGTTGTCTTCATAGTGTTTAATAGATAATTATGCTGCCTTTTATATAGGGTGACAAAGCTGATCCAGTGAAGATGCAGCAGGAAAAGGAAAATTTGGAAAGAAGGCAGCGTGAAGGTGATCTATGAATCTTCGCACTTATTCTAGTTCTTGACTGTAGTATTTGTAGCATTGTTGATGATTTACTGATTATAGACAGTCATTTTTATTGTTTTCTATTTCTTACTTCTTTTAAAAAAATTTTTCTCTGCTAAAAAATGCAAAATCTTCTAACGTTCATCGAGGAATTAAAAAGATTGACAATAAGTGAAACTCTATAGGTGTCTCAACGGACATGTGCCGATGTAAATTACTTATTCACTTAATTTTTATTACTTACTCATGCCATTATGTATTTTCAACTGATTTTATTAATGAACTGTTATATAAAACAGCTTATTTTTTCTGCTTGTGTTCACCAAATCAATCTTATCAGGATTATGAAATATGTTGCTTCCTATAAAACAATAAGTTTGGTACCATATATTCTATAATTTCTCTTCCTCTTGTTTGTTTCTCTTTCTCTTTTGTGGTTGATGTGCTAATGTGTTTATAGTTGAAGGTTTTTATTAAATAATAGACATGGAATGATTTATAGGGTTGGCTTGATTTATACACTTGTACGTAAAGTTATCTATATTTTATGGTAATCTGATATTATACCTATATATGCATTATGTTACGAGTGATTAAGACAAGTAGTTCTTTTGGTGCATACTTTTGTGAAGTTTTGATACAGGGAGCTGTTCCTGTTATTACTAGTTCTAAGTTAAATATCTGAGTCAGGTGAGAGACAATTGTATGCTTAGAGGTCTTATAGATGATTCTTGTATTTTGTACAGAAAAAGCAAAAATTGAAGCTCAGGTCAGAGCTGCTGAAGCTGCAGCAAAAATGAAGGCAGAGGTTGAGTTGAAGAAGCAACGAGAAAGAGAAAGAGAAGCTGCTCGAATAGCATTGCAAAAGGTTTTACCCTTTTTTTGTTTTTTGTTTTTCATTTTGTCTATGTTTCTATCAGTGGGTTTAGAGGTTATACCAGTTTTGTACTGTATTCAAAATATGAATCAGAACATCATCTGATGCTGCCTGAATTTTCAGATGGAAAAAACAGCTGAGATTGAATTGAATCTGGAGATTTTAAAAGAACTTGAGATTCTGAGTGGTAAAAGTGGATCTGAAAAGTTGATTGGAGCATATGGAGGAACTCGTGTCAATCCACTGCATCAACTGGGTTTGTTCATCAAAGACGAGTATTTGGAAGACGACGACGATGAGACAGTTCTGAATGAAGACGGGGAAGAGGGAGAAATACTGTCATAAATATTGATTGCAGTCTTATTTGTTCCAGCTCCATGTGAATGCTTGTTCTCTAGTGAGACCAAAAAAGGGAAAAAAGATTAGTATCGTTTGTAAATGAAGTATTTTTGTCGGAAAGTGGACATTTGTAATCAAAGACGTATATATTCATATAGAAAAAGATGAAGATATTCTAGTTTCCATCAAAACTACTCTCTCCCATTGCTAAATTCTCTCTGATTCTCAGAACAATTGGTAAATTTGGGGGAAGGTGTGAAATGTGTCATGACAAATAATTTTCAATCATACTTTTCAGCTGAGTTTGAGCATTATAAAAAACTTTTTTCTGATTGTATTTCAATTGGTAATTACACTCTGAATAAATAAGAAATTACAGATAATTAAATGAAGAATATGGCATTACTTAGACAAAGTCGGTGTGCATGGGTCATTTTCACGATCTACTGGGCCTTTGGCTTTGGGCAATCAGAAAATCGAGAAAGAAAGCCTTCGTCTGCTGAATCAACGAAAAGCCTAAGCTATCGAAGAGGAAGTCCAGAGAGAGAACAATGGGGGTAGAGGAAAACCTGAAATCTTTGAGCATCAACGAAAACGAGAACGAGCAGCTAAGAGAGGAGGAAGAGGAGCTGGAAGTCGGAGATATCGTAGGGGAAGAGGCTGATACGACGTCGTCTTCGTCAAAGAAAGGTATAGTTGAGCAGCCCACCTGCTGGAGCACCCATGGACCTTCTGGTTCGATAACCCATCTGCCAAGTCCAAGCAAGCTACTTGGGCTAGCTCTATGCAACCTATTTACACTTTTACCACCGTCCAACAAATGTGGAGGTTATTCTTCCTTCTTTCTCTTTTCCTTTGTTTCTTTCCATTTTTAATTTTCTATTTGAAGGTTGGGTTGTTAAGATAATGAAGATTTCCATTTGTTCTGGGTTTGTTTAATTCTGTGGCTGATTTCTGTCTTTTTTTTCTTTATTAGTTTTTGTTACAAGTTGAATTGAAGAATAAGGCTATGTTAGTCATTTAGTAGTCATTTATATATATATATATATATATATTTTTTTCAATCAGTATATACGAGTTAGCATGTTAGTTATTTTATTAAAAAATTGATAGTTGGTGTAACAATAATTGCAGAACTATTACAAAAGAAGGCGCTTATAGAAAGAAATACAATTTTTACATCCATTTCCTATATTTTAGAATTTTTTTTCTATCTTTCTTCTTCTTTCTCTCCTTACCTTTATTTCTGAAATTTTAGCTACTAAAAATTTGAGTTTTCACATAGGAGCTTAAGTTAACAGTGGTTCGATTGAGTAGCATCATTCTTGGTATCAGAGCCTCAGTTCTTGCAATGACAAAGGGTATGACAATTAGGTTGCAGAGAGACATGGGCCAAATGCAAAAAGAGCTGGAGAGGATAGAGGCCAAATTTGACACCTCTATCAAGTAACTTAATGATAAGATTGATTCCTTTGCAGAAGAAATGCGTGGCATGTTTGAAAAGATCATGAACAGTAGGCAAAGCTCACTTCAAGAAGTTGAGATGGGAGATTCAATAGCACTATCAGCTAGGAAATAAAAATATGTCGTGGGTGATGTGGAAGGTAGCAAGGTCATTATTCATGGACCATTTTTTGCTGAAATAGAGGAAGTTGCAAGGGTACCAACCAAGCACTCTAAGTTGAAATGCTCAAATTTTGCTGGAGACAATTTAAGGGGATGGTTGTTGAAAATCGAACAATTTTTTGAAACTAATTGAATTTGAAAAAATGGGAAAATAAGGATTGTGATGATGCATTTGGAGGGACAAGCTTTACAGTGGCATCGGAGGTTCATGAAGAATCAAGGAAGTCTTCAAGAGGTAAGTTGGCTCACTTATGTTACTGAGATGAAAACTAGATTTGTTGAAATTGAGTTCTTTGATCTTATGTTAGAAATAGTAGTGTTAAAGCAACACAATATTGTTGATGAATTTTATGAGGAGTTTGAAAGTTTATTAAATTTACTCTCCATTTTTTATGACAATGCTCTCTATATATTTTTGAAAAATTTGAAGCCTGAGATTTCTAAGCTTGTTGGAATGTTTTATCCTAAATCCTTAAGCCATGCTTACCAGTTGGCCAAACAAATAGAGTCCTTAATATACAATGTGCCTAGAAAACCTTATATACCTTACAAGAATCCTGTAACAACTCCTCTTATATCCCATAATAATCTTTATACCTTTAAAACTACATTACCCCCACTGTTACCAACCCCATAAAACCTTTTCTTAAATTACAACCAGCCTACTAAATCAACCAACCCCATAAATACCTACAAAACCATAACTAGTAAACCCGATTCAACTCTTGTAAAATCCAATGTTATCAAAATACCAATCTGAGATGAAAGAGATGACAAGAGGAAGAAATGACTTTGTATGTGGTGTGGGATTAAGTTTACACCAGGCCATAGGTGTGTCAAGGCTTAATTGTACTAGATGTTTACTTAGGAAAAGGAAGACAATAATAATGATACTAAGGAGTTTTGTGATTGTGTAGACAATCTGAAGGAGAATGGAAAGGAAGACCATGAATTAAAAAACAAGCATGTCATATCTTTACATGCTTTAATTGAAGTTGAAGGTCATACGACCATGATATTATATGGTCGAATCAAGAACCAATTAGTAGTGTTCTTGGTTGACTCTAAAAATACCCATAATTTTATTGATCAATTTTTGATTAAGAAATTGGGATGTAACATTAAGAAGATTGCTGGAATCAATGTCACTGTAACTAATGGTAACAAATTATTAACTCAGGATATATGTAAAACATTGACTTGGGAGGTTTAAGGCCTAGTCCAGTATACTAATTTCTTTATGCTACATTTAATGGGTTGTGAAGCAGTACTTGGGGTGCAATAGCTCCAGACATTAGGGCCTATTCTATGAGATTTTTCCTTGCTGATCATGCAATTTACTGTACCAAACAACTGGTATAAATTGCAAGGAATAGAGGTTGCTCAGGTACATATGGCTACAAGTAAGCAGTTTGCTAAGCTGAAGGTGGTTAGTAAGACAACTGGACTAATGATGATATCTGGTATTGAAATTTTTTAGTCTCGAGATGAGTTACATCATTTTAGTCAACAAATTGAATTACCACATGATTTGCAGGAATTGTTACTACGATACTCTCTAGTATTTGAGACACCTACAAATTTACCTCTATCAAGGCCTCAAGATCATAAGATACCTTTGATAAATGAATCTCAACCTGTAAAGATTAAGCTTTATAGGTATCCAATTGTACAAAAAAAATGAGATTAAGAAGATAGTAGCAGAAATGAAAAGGGTTGGAATTATAAGAGATAGCAACAGTTCATTCGCATCTCCAATGGTTCTAGTGAAAAAGAAAGATGGCTTATGGAGGCTTTGTGTGGAAGACAGGTAGTTGAACAAGATCACACTTAAAGATAAGTTTTCCATTCCTTTAATAGAAGAGTTGTTAGATGAATTATCTATTGCGTGCTGGTTTTCTAAGTTGGATCTTAGATATAGTTATCACCAAATTCAAATTGATCCTGCAAATGTTCACAAAATAGCTTTCAAGACTCACCAAGGGCATTATGAGTTTTTGGTCATGCCCATTAGATTGACTAATGCACCTTCTACATTTCAAAGTTTAATGAATAGTATATTTAAGCATTTCCTTAAAAAAATTGTATTGGTGTTCTTTGATGATATCATGGTTTATTCATCAAATTAGAATGATCATATAACATATTTGCAGCAGGTGTTTGATGTCTTAGTTAGCAACCATTTATTTGTTAAGCTTTCAAAGTGTGACTTTGGTGCTATTCAAATCGAGTATTTAGGGCATGTGATCAGTAAAGGGATAGTTGCTATAGACAGTACTAAGGTTGAATGTGTTAAACAATGGCCAATTCTTGAGTCTGTTAAAGAATTAAGAGGATTCTTGGGCTTCACTGGGTATTATCGTAGGTTCATTAAGGGATATGGAACTATTACAAAATCATTAACTGATTTATTGAAGAAAAATGCTTTTAATTGGCAAAAAACAGCAATAATAACTTTTGAGAAGCTCAAATAAGCTGTAATATCAGCTATTGTTCTAGCACTGCCAGATTTTAACTCAATTTTTGTAATCGAGTCAGATGCTTTAAGCTATGGAATTGGTGCTGTGTTGAGTCAAAATGATAGGCCAGTTGCTTATTTTAGCAAAGCTTTATCTTTTAAACATCAGGCACTGTTTGTCTATGAAAATGAGATGTTGGCCATATTAGCTGCAATAAAAAAATGGAGTGCTTATTTAACTGGAAGGCATTTTCAGATAAAAATAGATCACCAAAGTCTTAAATTTTTACTAGAACAGAAAACAAACACCCCTGCTCAGCAACTTTGGGTTGTCAAGATGATGAGATTTAATTATGAACTTGTCTACAGGAAGGTCTATACCAACATGGCAACCGATGCTCTTTCTTGAAATCTTGCAACCTTGTTATATACCTTATCTTTTATAACTAATGATCTAATGGCTAGGATTAAACAGTCTTGGTTGAAAGATCCAGTGTTGATACATTTGTTACATAAGCTCAAGAACAACCCAAGACAGTCTCCCAAGTACACTTGGCAAGCAAGATAGTTGTGAAGGAAGGGAAAACTTATGGTGGGAGCTTATTTTGAGTTAAGAAAAGATTTATTGACATTTTTTCATGATTCAGTGGACAGAGGGCATTATGGAGTAGAGGCAACTATGAAGAGAATAGCTAATGTGGTATATTGGAGAGGAATGAAAAAAACAGTTCAGCAGCATGTCAAAGAACGCACAATTTGTCAAAAATGCAAATATGAAACTTTCTCTTCAAGTTTGTTACAACCTTTACCAATTCCTGATAAGATATGGGCTGATGTGTCTATGGATTTTTATAGAAGGTTTGCCTAAGTCATTTGAAAAAGATGTTATAATGTTGGTAGTGGATAGGTTAAGTAAATATGCCCATTTTATCACTCTAGCTCATCATTTCATTGCCATTACAGTTGCTTAAACCTATCTAGACAATGTGTACAATTTGCATGGAGTACCTAATACCATTGTTTCTGAAAAAGATAAGATTTTCACTAGTTCATTTTGGAAAGAATTGTTCAAATTATTAGGAACCAAGCTAAAAATGTCTACTATTATCACCCTCAAATAGATGGACAGTTTGAAGTGCTCAACAGATGTTTGGAGACATATTTAAGGTGCATTATAGGAGAACAACCTAAACACTAATCCAAATGGATCTCTTTAGCAGAATGGTGGTATAACACTAGTTTTCACACTTTCATTCATACTACACCATATGAGGTAGTCTATGGTCAACTTGTTCCCATTCATCGACTATATCTACCTGGAGATTCTAAAGTGGATGAAGTGGATAAAAGTTTGCAAGCGAGAGAGGCCACAATCAAAATTTTGAAATTTCATTTAGATAAGGCTCAAAATAGAATGAAGTAGCAAGCTGATAGACATAGGGTTGATAGGGAATTTGAGATTACTGATTTAGTTTATGTTAAGCTCTAGCCATACAAACAACAATCTGTCATCAATAGGTCTTGTTTGTAGCTAGTTGCTGGGTACTTTGGCCCTTATAAGGTGTTAGAGAAGATAGGACTTGTCGCCTATAAACTAGAGTTACCTGCTGAAACCAAAATTCATCCTATCTTCCATGTTTAACAGTTGAAAAAGCACATTGGGAAGGTTCTAACACAATTTAATCTTTCTATGATTGATGCAGATGGAATGGTGACAAGGAACCAGTGGCAGTTCTAGATAGAAGACTTAGTAAGAAAAGAGGTAGAGCACTCACAGAGGTTCTAGTATAGTGAAGTAACAGTTATCCAAAAGATGCAACCTGGGAAGGATTATATGAGCTACAAAAAAACTTTCCTTGCTTCAATCCTAGAGGAGAAGGATTATTTCGAGGGGAAAATAGTTGTTACAAGTTGAATTGAAAAAGAAGGCCATGTTAGTCATTTAGTAGTCATTTATATTTTTTTTTTTACAATTAGTATATATGAGTCAGCATGTTAGTTATTTTGTTGAAAAATTGACAGCTGGTGTAATAATGATTGCAAAACTATTACAAAAGGAGGTGGTTACTGGAGGAAATACAATTTTTACACCCATTTCCTATATTCTAGAATTTCTTTCTATCTCTATTCTTCCTTCTCTCCTTACCTTTATTTCTGAAATTTTAGCTACTAAAAATTTGAGTTTTCACAGAGGAGCTTGAGCTGATAGTGGTTCGATTGAGCAGCATCAGTTTTTGGATTTTGATGACATGTTAGTTTTTGGCTTAGGCTTTTGAGAAAAAGATTTTTTTTTCTTTTTTTTTCTTCCTCTAATGACAGTAACATTTGGGGTTTTGCTAACGTTGGCGTTGTTAGAGTTTCTTGAAATCTGAAAAATGAACGTTTGTTGATTTTATACATATGATGATTTAACTACAAGGGGGGTTGTTTTCACTATAATCGTTGAAGGTTGTCGTCTGTAAGAATCTTGGAGCTGCCTGCTGCAGAGTGCTGTTTCCTGGACTCTGTTTCATTTTAATGGATGTTATTAAAGTGTTGGTCTGTTCTTTTAATCCATTATAATTTGACCTCATGGAAAGCACTTTTATCAGTCATAAAGGAACTTAATTTTTGTTTATTATAATTATGGATTGTTGCTTGGTGCCTCCAGGTGAATAAGTTATGTGATCATCGAAGAACTGCTATGCCAACTGTGTCCATGTTGCTGCTATTGATTACTGATTTCGTGTTTCACCTCTTAACTGTTAGTTGTTGTTTGTTTCTCCTGTGAATGTCACTTATAGATTTTTCTTCCAAACTTTTTGGATTACAGTCTTTACAATAACATTCATCACCCAAGCAAGTTGGCTGTGGGTGCAGACTTTCATTGTTTCAAATGTAAAATTGAGCCAAAGTGAGTAGACCCTGTCTGTGCTAATGGAGGCCAGTGAACTGTAAATTTCCAAAGGGGGAAGTCAGATACGTGTTGGCTGTACACAATATTGTTTCAGATAATGTAATGCTCACTTGTGTGTGTGAAATTTGCTGCTTACTGAAAAGTGTGGCCTGATCTCTTACATGTCTGCTGTTCTAATTGCTGGCTTTGATTGGAGAACAGTTCGAGTTTGGTGATTAGATCTGTGGAGCAGTTGTCAGTGTGAGAGCCAGACAGGAAAAAATAGCACTGTGGACCAAGAATGTTGTTAATGAAACTGCTCAGGTGACTAGAGTTGCTTGGTTAGGAAAATTGGCTTGTGCAATTCCGAAACCGTTTCTAATGGCTTATGCAATTCTAAAACCATTTCATGGGTTTTTGTTTTTAATGCAGATAAGCATTGGGAAACAGTGGAAAGAGTTACTTGATTACAATGATACTATAGGCTTCATATTTCATGTAATGGTTCTTTTAATTTGTGCAGATCTTTCGTATTGTGCTGTTTGTCCAAATTTGTTGGTTTTAGTTTGTCTTTTGGGCTCTAAACTCATTTCTATTTGCTTTTTCAGGGGATGCAAAGAAGCATGACAGAGCTGCCAAGAATTGCTGCACTATATGACTTGTATAGAGTTCTTTACCAGATGCTGAGCGCGGACGAAAGATTGCTTTTTCATGACTCTGGAAGCATCTGCTGCTTTTCTTTTTGACTTCTTTCAAGTTTCGAACTCTGATTTGTTTTAACTATGGCTATTTCTACAAGAGCTTTTAGCTATATAAGCGAATGTTATACTGCCATAAATTTCAGTTTGACCATTTATAGGTGATTATAAGTTACGACTCCATTTTGTTCTATGCTCTGTGATGTTTATAGCTCTTATACAGGGTTACCTTTTTCACCTAACATCGAATCATGTCAATCTGGATTGATCTGGCTAATTTGTTTCAGCTTGAAATCCTAAAATTTCCTGTTTGTTTGGTTTCAGTATGATTACTAATTATTTTGAGACCAAAAGGAGGTACCCTGAAACAGGACCTTAATTAGTCCTATACTGGTGTCATCCAACCTGTAGCTAAAATTTCATTTTCTTTTCAAGCATACGGATCTATCATACATGAATAGGAGAAAAATAAAATTTCCGAATCAAATCCCTTACCCTGTCTTCCTTTACTTAACCTTAACTCAGGTGAAAAGGGAGCAGAACCCTTGTTTTGTTATTTTAGTTAGGTTTAAGTCTGACGAGAATAATATTCTACGACAAGCAATTCATTTATTTTCAAACCGACCCATTTCCTATCTATTATTTGATTGACTAATCCTTTATATTGTAATGTGTGAAGGGTCAAATGCTTTGGTAATTCCTCATGGGTGGATGAATCAAGATAATTTTGAATCAGAGTTCTAGATTTTTGTTCATCCCTCGCTGAAATAATATCTCGGGGTTTGCAGCGATAACTTGGTATATCTACTGTACGACCATTAACTAAAATATGTCTATGGGCCTCAATTGTTGATATTATGCTCCTGCATTTTGTCAAAACAATGATCAGTTAATTAGTCAGATTTGACCTTCAATTTTCAGGCATTTGTTATTACACGCATGTGAGGAAACATATAATAAGTAAACAATTTCCAAAATAATAACCTGAGCTTGTTGATAAAATTGTGATGCGAAATTGGCGAGTTCAAGCAGCAAAGGTTCAGGATAGGGCAGTGGCTGCTGCTGCTGCTGCTGCGGCATTGCGTTAGGGTTGGTTCCGCTGATCAGCATTTGGTCTCTTGTAGCCGGAAACGGGGAGCTATAAATGCAAAGAGGATCAAGAAGGACACAATGGATGACTCCATGGCATGGGCTTCGGGCAGAGAAAGTGTGTTTTTGCATTTTGGTTTATAACGATGATTGAGGAAGAGGATGGTTGGCGTGAAGGGCAGTCAAGAAGGAAGAGTCATGAATCATCTGTTGTGCATGAATGCTATGCAATTGATAGAAATATTAGTTATATCAATCACATTTCTTCAATGGTAGTTAAGATATTTGAATTTTTATGCATTTTTTCCTTCAAAAAAGAAAAAAAATCATTTTAAAAATGTGAGATTAGCAACTAACTATTACTCCTATACTTGTCTCTAACCATAGCTAGAAAAATTTTAATTGCAACTTTAAATTGGAGCCTGTGGCCACCTTACTCTTGATCTTAATCTAAAACGCTTTGATTATTCATTTCCACCTACGATTTAATCAATAAGATTTAGGATTGGAAGCTTTTTTAAAGGCTTTTGTTGGAAATACACACAAATAACTGTACTTTTTTTACACATTTTATTCATTACAGTAAAATGCTACATATACTTCGGACTTTTACACATCAAACAAACGAAGCCCGACAGAGAATCGATCAGTAGCTGGGCTAACAAGCCTCGTGTATTATATACAATCACAGCTGCTGCATTTATTTCACACCACATCACACGTACGAATTAACAGTAGCCTATATGTATATAAGAGTGGTTTTTATCAAGCAGAGTTGTGTTCTCCATTTTCAATCCTCATATGCTGCAGATATGTTTTTCCATAGAGCTTACGGACAAAGAAATCTTTGGCGTATTGCTCCAACCCAACCCTTTTAAACACTGGTGGGTTCTTCGGATTTATGAGGCTTGGTGAAGGTCCCACCTCAGCCTCAAATTTGGGGTTGAGGAAAAAGGCAACTGACATTCTTTCTTTCCCCGAATTGGTTGTGGCCCTGTGCTCAATGCTACGGTAAACGCCGTTGCTAAAGATCTGCAAGAAAACGAGAAAACTTTACAAGTTAAATCATATTTCCAGCTCTATATATAGCTTGTTGAAAAAAAAAAAAAGACAGCAGATAAAAAAACCTCTAGAACGTCTCCGACGTTGACCACAAGGGCATCTGGGAGGAAGCTCACGGGAAACCAAACACCATCTTTCTTAATCTGGAGGCCATCAACTCCATTAACTTGGTGCAGTATGGTGAGAAGAGTTGCATCAGAGTGAGGAGTAATGCCCATAACCAGCTCTGGTTTGGGACATGGAGGATAGTATGTCATCCTCACAGATTGCATCCCATCGTCAAAAAATTCTATCATCTCCTTCGTATCAATTTTCAATGCTTTTGCCATAGAACAAAGTAGTTTCGTGGCAAGCTTTTGCAGTTCCAAGAAGTAAGACTCCAAGGTATTTCTTCATGCAACAAAAAAAAATATATAATTTCATGAGGATTCAGAAAATGGATTGCATGCAGAATACTATTGAATTAAAATCCACTTGCAGGGCCATAAATTAATTAAGACTTGCAAACCAAGTTTGTGAATGGGTAAAAGAGATCGTAATCTAGTCATAGAAACCCTCATTTATTTTTTATTTCACGATGCAAATAGTCAATTAACTGGAAATTGCTTATAATTATGATTCACCTTCTAATTAAATTGCATGTCTGTTTTGTTGCAAGGGATCTTTTAGTTATACATAATATGAACTTAAAAAAAGTGTCGGTAGCCGCACTCCACCGCACTAAAAATGTGAGAATAATATAACATATGTTATTCTCGTTATAATAAAATCCATAATTATTTTGAGATAACGCATAGTACTTTGACAACAAATATGGTTTGTTGATATTGTGCTGGACTTTCAATAATCGAAAATTAATCTTTGACAACCTTAAATAAAAAAAAATTAATTTTGAGATTTAATAAATCAAATTATTTAAATAGGATATATAGTGGCCAATTCTTAATTCAACAGGGATAAAAATCATGACCTTTAAGATCATAGACTAATATAGAGTTCCAAACATGTCTCAAGGTCAAATGTTTCCAACATAAATAAATTCACCACAACTGTCTCTTTCTACTCATCTGTTATTCTTTTCTTTTCTTTTTTTTTTTTTTTTAGGAATATGCATGCAGATTTCAGAGCTTGCATGGGCCTGCAAATGAATTTCTGTTCTTTCATTTTTACTGTTTTATTTATTTTATGATCTGTAACTGGCCTCTTCCAACTGGTTAAATAAAAAAAAAAAAAAAAGAGAGTCCAGAGAAAGAAAACCTTAAGGATGAAGGGAGCTCTGGGAAGAGATGAGGCTTTCGTCTATGAATAGGGTTTGTTATCATATAAAGCCTGTCAGACCAGTCAAGCTTTCCTGCTTCTCTGGGTGTATTTCCATACCCTTCAAACTCACCTTCCCTTATCTTGTATTTCATTTTCTCTTCCAGTGGAAGCTTAAAAAATTCTTCAACCTCATGTTTCAGCCTGTCCAGTATTGAAGAGCTAACTCCATGGTTCACCAACTGCACAAGCAATTCCAAAACTCTGAGGTCTTGGGTCTTCATTAATTTATTCTAAAATAGTTTTTCTTTTTTTTTTTGTCCCTCTCAATTTTAAGTTTTCTTTGTCTTTTTGTACTTTTAATAAAATGAAGTGTAGTTCTACAATCCGTAGCGTAACAAACAAATATGAACATGCAGAAAATTCCATGCACATGCAAGTTTATAAAGACCTTTTGGATGGATCTTGGAAACATGCATGCGATCCTTTTCTCAATGCTGAAATTAAATCCCTTTGCTATATATCATGTTTTATTGAAGAGATGAAACTGTATAGCTAAAGGTTGAATTGAGAAGAATTAACCTGAAAGAGACCCCACTCTTTGCAAGTTGAGTGCAACTTCTCGAGTTCAACATCATCATCCTCCCCGGAAACCAATCGAGTCATGTCAATGGTTGGGGTGATCATTGGCATGGGACGACTACCGTTAGGGAGGGAAGGATCAGGTTGTTGATCATCCAGACGAACATAGTGTTGAGGGATTGTGATTATTGGCTTTTTGACAAGCTCTTGAACACTAACCACTGGAAAAGAGAAGCTAAAGTCTTCTGCATCTGATGATGCCATATTTGCTAAAGCTGATGTGCTTCTATACAACTGATCACAGGAAGAGTATTTATAGGGAAAAATCTGGCTAACCCGTCTTCCGCTTCTTCGCCTAATGACAAAGAAGCCTTAAAGAAGACATTAAAGTTTGGGTTCGAACCAAGTCACTCTCTCTCTCTTTTTTCATGTAACAGGGTAGTGTCCTCTTTGAAACCAAAAAACAAAAAAAAATCTGGCTAACCCACCAACAAAAAAAAAAAAATCTAAATATTGATGAAAACAGATATCTTGGGTTTACAAGAATGATCAGCAACAAGCAGATTAATTGTGCTTGGAAAAAAAAAAAAGATACAATAGCAAATTAAATGTTGACTCTAATGTTTCTACATATAATTTTCAGATTTATGTCACATTCTGCTTGTTGCTATATTATGTGAATTTTTGTATCTAACAAATTCATTCCTACTTCTGGGGGTTGGGGATTAATTATATATTAAAGCAAATTTAATTTGAAGCTTCCCCATTTATTAACATATGATCTTCAAAGATATATCCTTAGAGGATGGTCTGGCATGGCTTTTGCTGAATCAATAAATGTATATTCTAGATGTCCATATAATTATTTTTGATAGCGTAATTTAGAGTATTGAAGATTAATGGCCAAGATTGGCCCCAAAAAAAAGGTTAATAGCCCAAACCATATGATGTTAAAATATTATTTATAGTAATACAAATAATCAATTTGATAAATTTCAATACATTAGTGGGAAGTTATTACTTAATACATATAATAACATTAAATAATGTTTTTAAAACGCCTCATTGACAAGCTCAAATATTAATTACAATTTTTCCAGGGAACATGTTTATGATACAGGGAAAAATTTGGATTAAGTTTTTTTAGATGAAATTTGTGAAAATTTTTATTAGAAATTATTAAATAAAAAATAAAATCAAAAATCAAAATCGATAAATTAAAAATTTTCGTTACAAAAATCAGGTGTGTAAAATTTAAAATATTTTGATATATTTTTTAGATAAACATTTTTAATAAACATATTAATAGAATTTTTATCATTAAATAAATATCGATAAAATTTAAATTATAAATAATATTTTAATAATTTTTATATATTACTAATTTTTACATTAAAATCTATCAATTTATTAATATTTTTATTAAAAATTTCTCATAAAAAACTTCATTTAAGTTTTGTCATACGGACATCTAATATACCAACATAATAAACATACAAAAACAAAACCCATCCATAGTCATTCAAAAGCATGTCTTTCTAAAGCACAACAATAATTAATCTTAATTTTCTTTTCCCCTAAAAAAAAAAATGCATGATAGTGGACATGCCAGCGACATACATAAAATTTTCACTAACAGTTAGAATAGTTTTCTTTCTGTCAAGCCATGATCTAGCTAGAACTTATATCGATGAAACAAGTACTTTTCCAAGTGTACATTATTTTCAAAGCATAATTAATTGTAATATTTGATTGAATAGACTGAAAGAAAGTCATTTTCATCCGTAACGTGTTAACTAAGGCATGTATTTTCCACGCAAATATTTAAATCTACAGCTAAACACGTGCTTAATTCAATTCCAATTATGGTTTCCATTTTCTATCACACAGTTGTTGAACATTTGGTTTGATGAATTTTCTGATTTATAAGTTTATAATTTAAAACGCAAACCACGTTTTTAATTGTGACATCTGGGGTCCAATGACTCATTCAAATGCTCATTCATTCATATTTATATCAAGTTGTCATCAATGATGGTTTGGGTTCAAATCCAATGACTAAACTACCCTTGGGAATCCATTGCTTCAAAATTCAATGTTGAGCAAAAACACACCTCAAATTCTTTTTAAGTGTAATTTTCTTTCAAAATTAGTCTATGGTCAAAACTACAACATGTGTTTTTTTTTTAAAGGATAAAGGGTTTTTAGACTTAATCCAATACACCATCTTTTCAGACTTATTCAAACAAATTTATTTACGACATTTACTTTGCATTTTTAATTGTCATTAAATATCTCCGAATTTATTGCAACTTTTGCTATTTTCTCTGCAAATTGATGCTCAGCAAATTAAGACACACCTCAGTCCTATCAATCGATGTAGATGTAATTTTCTTTGGAGATGTTTGGTCAAGAGTAGTTGTGCATGTGCTTGAGATATATAACTCATTAATTTCTATGAACTTGCACCATCTGCATATTATAGAAATCACTAAAGCATTAAGATTTGAGCATGGATCTCTCGGGGGAGTTCTTTAATTAAAATTCATAAAATTATCTAATAAAACTAGATAGTAAATAAAAACTAAATTATGATAATTTGTTCATCGTACAAATATATTTTATAAATAATTTTACGAACTTCACTTAGAAAAAATTCACTTAAATTCACTTCACCTCTTGTTAAAAGTACCACCCTTCTAATTGTTGGATAAAAAAATATGCAGCACCGTCAAATTAAAATTGTCCTCATGCATGTACATGCCAGCAATTGAATGTTGTCATTTGATTTGTTTTTATTTTTTTGAAAAAAATGGGAAGTAATACTAATTAAATATGATTAGTTTAATAAAATATTAGTGAAAACAAAGCAATTTCAATTTGGAATCAGTTTTTGTTTACGCAAGCAATTGGTGTTTAGTTACATAATTGACCTTAAATTCATCTAAATCTTCAGTACCGATCGAAGGACAAAGTGGCCCGGAACAATGACTTGAGGCCGACCAACAATGATACTGTACTCCACAAAACTGTTTTCTTTTATTAAATTATACTAAGTATGAAATTAACGTTTTGTATTGTTTTGTTACGTGGATTTAATTTATAATATTAAATTTCGGTGCTAATTCATTTCTAATTGCTTGGGAATTTTTTAATATTTGTTTTGTTTTTTTTTCTTTCAAGTACAAAGAATCTAGCTCAGAATTGTGTAAAATTTTAGAAATTATTAAGCAAAGCTTATTATTTGGTCAAGAAATTGATGGTTTGAAAGTCCTTTTATTTTTATTAATTGTCTAACACATTCCACATGTGGAAGGCTTAGCTTGTTTTACATTGTTCTTTTCTCCCTTGCTTTTCCTACTTTCCTAATTCAAACAAACAAAAAAGCCCTAAAGACTGTCCTTTATGAATGGGAAAGTGAAAAAATATGGCAAGTTGATAAGAGGATCAATGTGGAAGAAAAAGGGAACTCTTTCTTTTTTTTCCATTTGTGTGTAAACATGCTTTATGAGAAAGATGAAAAAAAAAAATGTTGTTTTCATCACATTTCATCCATCCATTCCTTGATAAGCAATCAAAGAGGAAGACTTGTTAGGGGTTGCAACTTGCAAGGCCTAGGACAGTGGCATCCCCAACTTTTTAGCATTATATATATATATATATATATATATATATATATATGTCAAGAGATAACAAATGAATAAACACAAGAAGCATATTTCAAAAAATAAAAAAATATACTTAACTGACATTTATAATTTGATTTTGAACCATAAATATTGGAGGACACCTCAAAGTAAATCAAATATTAGAGACATAATCAACTCTTAATTTCAATAATCGGGATTTAAATCTTGATAATCTCAAATATAAAAAAATAATTGATTTCAAGAGAGGTGTGCAAATATTTGACTCTTAACCATTCATATTAATTTGTCTTTTAAAGAAAAAAAAATTAATGAAGGATAAGAGGAGGAATTGAAAAGGAAAATTAAAACCTTAATGCCCTCCTACTTTGCGTCCATTAATTGACTAGCCTTATCAAAGCAGGTGTTACTCGTGTTTTAATTGCCTACAAGGAAAATTTGATTCCGAGAAAAGTAGAAGGTTGGGCCACTTTATCTAGAAATATGACTTTTATTTTTACAGCTTCTGAAGGGATGATAGATTTAAGGGTATTGTAAATGTTAATAAAAAAAAAAGTTTTTATTTTCTATCTTCTCGCTTTGCACCCTTTGAAAGGGGGAATTTGAACTTGAAATTTTTGATTTGAAGTCATGCCGTACAAGAGCTTATTATTCAATTGCCAAAAAGGTAATAAGATGTCAAAGTCATGTGATCTATTAATAGAATGTTGAACTCTTAATTTTAATAATTAGAGTTCAAATTCTGATAATTTCATATTAAAAAAAAAAGCTAATATGATTAAACTTAAGATTTAATTTAGTTGGTTTATATAAACACATTTAAAAATTAGTATTTAGCAAAATTTAGATTCATATCTAAATACCTATAACCTCTTCACTGTCTTTAGGCTAAAGCATCATTTATAAAAAAAAAAAAAAAAATCTAATATTATCTTCAAGATGAAAGAAAATGGCATTGTTCTTGTTAAAAATGAATTTGAATTGGAAAGGGACCATGAAAATTAATGTGAATGATGAATTCTGATGATTCCAGTAGTGAGTCCAATTACTTCCAAATGCTTATGATCAATGTTCTTAATTTGGATAGGCTTTAGGACTTTCACCTCTCCAAATCTCACGATGGATTCAAGATTTATATCCGGTGGGAACAAATTTATTATATTAACTACTAATAATATTGGTATAATAATTTTATATTTATATTATGAACCATTACTTTACTGATTTATTTTTATTTTTTAATATATCCATATACTTTTTAATATTACAAAAGACTCACTTAATTTTTTTCTTTTTATAATTAATGGAGTCTACAACAAAAAATAAAAATTTTGGATTTATTTCTAATAATTCTACTTTTTTATATTTTAATTGGGGGCAAAATCCAAAAGTCATTAGAATTTTGGATAACTTCATGATGATTAAAATTAATTTTTAGGATTTTAGTGAAGGCAGATGTTAGAGATGTTTATGGGCCTAGCCAAGTCGGGTTCGAGCTAGACTCATATTTGGTATTAATAATTTATATATTTGCCCAGACTCAAACCAAAATTTTAAGTCTCAAAATTTTTTTAAGTCCAGCTTAAATTAAAAAATAAATTTCAAATCTATCCATTAAACTTAATTTATATAATAAAAAATAAAAAATATGATTAAATTAAGTTTAATAAGATTATATTCAATTCACATATATATAAAAAATAAAAATAAAATAATATATATAAAAATTAAAAGTAAAAATTATATAAGAGTAAAAATTAAATTTAATAAAAATATATTTTTTTATTTTTATTTTTTATATATATGTGAATTAAATTATATATAATTCACGTATATATAAAAATTAAAAAATTATATATATATATGAATTCGAG